CGGCACTCTACCCAGGGGGACAGCTTGAGGCTCTGTCTCAAAAAAAAAAAAAAAGTGATTTGCCTGAGAATGTTGCACTTTTCACTGCAAGTAAATAATACACTGAATTTTTAAATACTGATATTTTAAGGTGTAACTAATTAGAAACATCCTACACATGACAAAGCTAGTATAAATTAGCTTGACAAGCAACTCAGCTAACGTTCTGTGCACAGGGATGATTAATCCCAGTATGAGCTCTTCTCTTTGCTTAGCTTTCCATTTCCTTGTGTTTAGTAAATAGGAAATTTAAAGTATAAATCCACTATTTCTCTTTTATTTTGGAATAGGAGGTGATGTGGACTACACCAAAATGGGACTACCATTTACTGGTTAGGCATCTATGTGGAATCAGGGAGAATGTTTTTGGGAAACTTCTGAGGGGAATTTCTTTTTCTTTCAAAACATCAGGGAGTATGAAAGTTTTTCTTAAATGGATACCCACTATAATGCTGATGTCAGGACGTCCAGCGTGCCCACCACCAGGATAATGTTCATTATACCCAATAGGTAAGTTTTTATCCCTCACCCCCATCCCACCCTCCCCATATAGCAGCAGTCCCCAACCGTTTTGGCACTAGGAAAGACAATTTTTCCAGGACTGAGTGTTTTGTGTGTGTGTGAGCGCACATGGGATGATTCAAGCACATTATATTTCTGCCTCAGATCGTAAGTCATTAGATTCTCACATGGAGTGTGCCATCTAGATCTCTCACATCTGCAGTGTAGAGTAGGGTTCGTGTTCCTATGAGAACCTATTAGTTTTTTTTTTTGCAGTTTTTGGCCAGGGCTGGGTTTGAACCCACCACCTCCGGCATATGGGGCTGGTGCCCTACTCCTCTGAGCTACAGGTGCTGCCCCCTATGAGAATCTAATGCCATGACTTATCTGACCAGAGGTGGAGCTCAGATGGTGAAGTGAGGAGTTTTGCTCACTTGCCCACCAGTCACCACCTGCTGTGTGACCTGGTTCTGGAGGTTGGAGACTATAGCCATATGGAACATAATTAAAGAATGCTTAGTTATGAGTGAACAGAGATAGGAAATAGATGGGATGGTAGCTAAAAAACTTGGATGGCTTGACCATAACTATTGGGAGCTTTACTAAGTACCAGGCACCAGGCTAAGCACTTGAGATTTATTACTCCCATTTTGCAAATGAGTAAAATAAAATTTTACATAGCTATGTGCTCTCTAAAGGTTATAAAGCTAGGAAATAGTAGAGCTGAGATCTGAACCTCGGTCACCTGATTCCACAGCCCTAAGTAAAAAATAGGAAAATAATAGCTATATAAAGGGAAGATTGTTTTAACCTGAAGAATGTTGAAGGCTAGAAATATTTACTTTGTTGTTTTGACTTTTATTCTCAGTGGGTATTTATCATAAAGTAATACAGAAAAAAATGGTAAAGGAGGATAAGGATTCAGATGAGACTTGTAAGTTGAAACGAACAGTAGAGAAATGTCTGGCCAAAAAGAAAAACTGTATTGAGAACCCAAACTCCTAGTTTTTAGTTCAGTGATGTGAGTAAGAAGAAAAAAGAAAAGCAGACTTACCAGTGGTAGTAGCGGAATCGGGGTCTCCAGTTTGGGGTTCGAAGTAATGTTTGTAAGGCACATGCCAAGTTCACAAAGAGGTAACACATGAGAAAAAACCTGCAAGAATAAAGAGTGAGAATAATGATCATAACTGTAAATAACTACTTTGAGTGGTATTTTAAATAACTAGAGAGCTTTGGTGAATTTCTAGACCACTAGCCCCTGATCAGGTAGGAAGTGGGGAAATGTAAACCTCTTCTCACAAACCTGCTCATCCTATAAGTCTTCTTAGTCAATGACATAACCACTCTCTATCCAGTTGTTCTTGGAATAATCCACATTTCCTCTTCCTTCTTCACCCTTGTTCTAAATTCACGTATCAAATCCTGTGAATTCTACCTATTTAAAAATCTCTAAACCTCTTCCCTTCCTTTTCATCTCTATTACTATCGCCTTAGTTCAGGCTCTCATTTCTTCTTTCCAGTTAGCATTCCCAGCTCAATTCTAGTCTCCTTGTAATCCATCTTTTATACCAAATATTTCATTATAAAACATATTCATTTTATTTTCAAGGGATTACCAGCACTTCAGGTTAAAGGTCCAGTCCTTTTCATCTGGTTTGACCTACTTCTCTAGCCAATTATTTCCCCAACATGCTCCCTCTACACCAGCCAAGTCAAACTACTTTTAATCCTCGAATGTGCTATAGTATTTCATTCCTCAGTGCTTTATACACGTTGCCTGCCTGGAATATTCCTTATCCCTTTTCTGCTCAGCAAATAACCAGTCATCCTTCAAGATATCAGTGTTACTTCTTCAGAAGATCTTCCTTGAGTCCCAGTCTGTTTAGAGCCTTGTTTTGGTGCTCCTAAGGCACCCAGTATCCACCTTTACCACAGCATTCACCACACTGTATAGGGACCTCTGGTTTCCTTATCTATTATCAGTTCTCTACGATTGTGTTTTATCCATCTTTGTATTCCCAGAATACTGTATTATACAGGGCCAGGTAAGCAGTAAGTCACGGATGAATAAATAAAAAGCTAACAGTGGTAAAACTTCAATCAACTGATTATGAATCAGAAGAAAAGACAAAGAACTTTTGAACTTATATAGACAGGAAAAAAATACCTAAGTTATAAAAGTGAGCCTTACATCAAAGTTCTCAGGAATGTTGCTTAACTGAAATTATACCTGTATTTGGCCTATTCTGTTATCACTACTGCTATACGACAGATGGAAATTGACATGTATTAGAAACATAAACCATCTAAACAAGAATAACTGAAGAAAATAACTGGCTCTTACATGGAAAGAATTGGGGCCACAAGATCCAGAGAGGCGATAAGGATTCCCAGCTCTGCAATGGCGGCAGTTAAAAGTAAAGCCCAGGTAGGTTCCCCATTGGCTTTGCTGTGGCCAAAAACCTGTGCATAGAAGGGAAAATATGGGACATAAGAGTGTTGAGTCAATGCTCCTGATTCCTCTATCCTACAGTTTTAGACATCTGGAAGACAAAAGTGTTACAACTGTAATATTTTAAAACATTTTACAGAAATCTCATATAAACACATATTAGGGATTTAGAATGTCTTATACTAAACATCCATGTCTTCACATGTATGATCTAGTAATTCCTAAGCCCACAAAGAGCACACTGTTTCTCATAAAATGTGGGGAAAAAGAAGTGGGCACAGAAATGGGTCACTCACCCTCAGAAATGGTATGATGTTATCCTTGGCAATAGCCTGTAGCAGTCTTGGTGCACCTGTGAGGCTCTGAAGTCCAGCCCCACATGTTGAAAAGAAAGAGCCAATAACAATCACCCATGGGGATGGCCAAGATAAGGTGCCCACCACCAAATTACCTTTCACAGCATCCCCAAACCTGGGAAAGAAATAAGAGTGGGGAAATTTAATCTGGAATAACTTTATAGACTTAAGACTAGATAGTCACCTTTTTTCTATTTATTATTTTTAGAGAATCAAAATTGAGATAGATACGAATATTAAGAAAGGTAAAGGATTTTACATTTAGGCTTAAGTCATGAAGTATAAATCTTTAAAGAAAGTATGGTAAAAACTCTTGAAGATATTGGTCTAGGTAAAGACTTTATGAAGAACACCCCAACAGGGGCCCTGATCAAGTTAAAAAGTTTCTGCACAGGCCAAGGACACAAGCAGTACAGCAAACAGAAAACCTATAGAATGGGAGAAGGTATTTGTACTATACATCCAACAAAGGGTTGATAACCATAATCTACAAAGAACTCAAGCTAATCAACATGAAAAGATCAAGCAACCCCCTTAAAAATTGGGTGAGAGATGGCTCGGCGCCTATAGCTCAACCAGCTAAGGCGCCAGCCACGTACACCTAAGGTGGCGGGTTCGAATCCCCAG